TGTGTGTGTGTGTATTGAGGGGTTTATTCGCTAAGTGGTCTTGCATACATAATATGTGTGTGTCGCGATACAGTGTTTACACGCAGCACAAGCATCGGTATCTAGTCACGTGTCTATAATCAATAGAAACGGTGACGTGTCGTCGGTAAAGCCGGTTGAAGATTACGCCATTCTTCACAATCTCGCAGAGAAATGTATATCCCACTGTTATGTAGCAAGGTGACACTAAAAACGTAATTTACAATAATGTTGAAATTTTATTATATTAAAATTATATTAATAACCATTTTTTTATATTCGTCCTTTAAGAGCGATTCTAAGAAGAAAAAAAATACTAAGCGTTTTATTCTTTAAAACGTCAAGTTCGTTTCTAAGCGAAGCAGAGCTGGTAACTATGATAAATAACACACATCTAATCGATACAAATGTTTAATTTGTTTTAGCCATATGAGAAATCTTAGCGTAGCACAATTTGACCATTGCAGTCACGTCTGTCAGATAAAACACCGTTAACATACATACAAGCTTAGAATAGAAATAATGATTATACAACATCGTTCTTTGTTTTTCTTGAAGAGTTTTTTTCGCTATATGTGGTCTTAACATTAGACTCGCAAAAAAAAATTTACGGAACGGCTCCAATCTATCCGCGTGTCTGCTTATGCACTCAAGTTTGCCAGCAATATATTGACTCTCTTAAAAAAAGATATGTGACATATACAAACCAATTTGTTTCAAGTTCGCAATCCTATCAAAGATGTCCGATTAGCGATTATTATCCGACGGCCAATAAATGCGCATGCGCATCTGATTCTCGAACATTGCCGACCAATTTTGTTGAAATAAAATGTGTGTGTACAGAGCACATGATGATGCGTAATTTGCCAGTGGTCTTACATCACCGTCCTATGTTATGTTATGTTCATGTATCGAACCACGCTCACCCAGATTATACATACATTCATTTACATACATGATTTACATATTATCACAAAAGGCAATGTAGATGACGTATTTTTGAGCATGCGCAGGTAGTGTATCTTGACAGGAACAATATAATATGATTTGCAGGGAAATATAAATATTGTTTTGGCGGCAATCATGTAATAAAAAACTGAAAAAGTGCGCATGCGTTCGAGATTTATTTATACGTACAGGTAAATTACAATTAAAACCTAGTGTTTTCAGTATGCCATTTAACGAATACTGAAATGTTTGGTTGCAGCTGAAATATTATTTATTATTTTGTTTTCCAGTTGCAATATTTAAAACATGATCAACAATACTCTAAGTACATACATCACACTATGTAGTCGATATAACATAGATACCAAACATCATCAGATGAAAGGAAATGACATATTTTATTACAATAATATTATCGATGTTGTTCATATTGTTACCAACAAAACAATGGGGTATGACGTCGCATCCTTGTTGATGGTGGTTGAGCGCATGTTCACCGTGACAGAAAACCCGTTCCGAGACAATCCGACCCGACCCCAGTTGAATCTCTAAGTTACTGGCTATTTTACTGACCATTTGGCCGCTGCGAAACGAAATTTAATATATAGGCGAGAAGCAGCGCTGATTATTTTCATAAAGATTAGCTGTTGTTTCACATTAGAAGAAGTTATCAAGCAAATATTAGACTTCAAATTACAACCCGTCTATACATTCAACGACGAATGACAGCAGCGAAATGAATCGATTCCGTTAATATAACAATTTGTGTTTCTGTGTCTAATACACGCACTGCATTGTAAACACAGTAATATTAATATGATATAATTATAATATTGTCCGCATGACACATTGTGAAGTTAAATCTTCCTATTGCTTGCCGTCTGTACTAGACATCGGAATCTCTGTTAATCTGATGAAGCGTACCTTCGTCACTCGAAACATCGGACCTGAGCAAACTTTCCTTGTATAAACATACGCGGTCAAATATTTGGACTGCACTTGGAGAGAAAGAAGGTGGATGTATGTGGTCATACATACAAGGATTGCTAAATGGCTACACGTGACTCGCACAGTAGCATGACGCGTTCAGTGTCATCGTGGTGTGTAATAGTATTTATTATTCACATTCCCATACTATTATAAAAAGTTCAAGAGTTCAAAATTTCGATTAATTAGATTTTGTAGTCATTACCATATATATATTCTGCAACTGACTCCCATAAACAAATCAGTGGGTCAACACGACCAACGACGCAGAAACAGACATCGTCCCGGCTTACATGCTATTAGGCTTATTTGCATTCATCTTCGCCGTGTCTAATTTCTGAGTATTTGTGGAGTATTTACAAAGCAATCTTATTCGAACGACTGTTACTGGTTCACGATAGCGGGAGATCCGTTCAGTTCAGCGCATTTCGTCGGTCAACGCCCACTCGACGTGGGCCCCATTTGCAGTTTGTTTCTACTAAAAACGGCACATTTTCATAAGCCTCGGCGCGTGGAAGTAGAATTAATGATTGCTTATGCAAAGGACAACGAATCGATGAAAGTAACTCTATTATAAAGCAACTGTGAATGCGGTTTCCATGACGACTCCCTCAGTTCAAACAAAACTATCAAATTACTTACTACGCATCCAATATCTTAAACCAATATTTGTCATATTGAAGGTTGTTGTGTTAAACTGTCAATGATTTCATTCGCATAATTTATTCATTGTTGTTTTTTATTATACTGACCGTGTCATCGTCGTATGTAGTTGTTCGCATTAATGCTTTATGAGCTGAATTCTTCAAATCAAACTGGAATCGAATAAAATGGAACGGCATATATGTTAATAACCAAGGGGTGTGAAATTGTCATCCTTGTCATTCTTGGACATCGTCTCAAAAAGAAAAATGCAACTGTTGATCTGTAGAATATTGTATCTTAGTTATACAACAAAAAACACAGCAACAATTGTCGCAAGAAGACACGATGATATTTTTCAGTGGGTCTGTAATGTTAAATAAATTGATTGAGGGGGAGAACTATTCCGCTATGTGTTCTTTGCATTAAAACAGATCCGCTCGGCGCCCGGGCAGACGCCATTGTCATAATTCGAATAAAAGTCTTCCCAGATACAGCAGTGAATGGTTAAGCGTGGGTTAGCTTGCAGTGGTGATATTATTAACGCAAAGACTAATAATTAAATATACCATATATTATTAACTAATGTTTTGGTTCTTTTAGATTGTTATTGCTAAAATATTGCAGATTGTAATAATTTATGTGTCTAGAATTATTACCGGAAGAGAACGCAGTAATTGATGATGGTATAATAGCGCACTATAAAACTGGTGGATAGTAATTTCTTCATTATGTTGTTAAGTTGAGTTTATGTTATGTTGGATTAGTAAAAGCGTTGATTCAACAGGTGGCCACTTGGGACACCGTCAAGCTGCACTTCTATGTGTCTGATACGCACATACGAGTATATAAATATATATACATTCAGTGATCCACCGTTGGCGCAGGATGTACTCAAATAAAATGACGCAATGTGTTTAAACTGAAATATTTATTTAACAACTTCTTGGAACGGGTAAATTACAATACCGTTGTTTGTGGATATTTGAGTAATGAGAAAAGTAGACTGTTCAAGATTTAAATACTCTAATATGCGGCAGTTAAACTTCAGGAGCTGTCATCCACCTTGACATTCATAAACACTATATGCGCGGTGTATCGCAGTCAACTTGTTTTATTATTCGTTAGGAAAAATTGTACTAAATGTCAGCGTAGCTTACTGTCATTGCCGGAAAACAATTGTACAATTTCAACTTTATTCGTGCCGGTACAAGTGACATCTAAAAAAGGGAAAGCAATTTTATATACATACACGTGGTTAGTATTTCACATTACAGTATTATGAACAAATTGTAACATTTCTCGCTCTTTATTTTGTCTGGTTTGCCTTTGAGGTCTTTCTACGATAACTTTTTAAGATTAGCCTCGCAAAAAAGCAAATATACATTGCTTACCTACATTGTAAGTTGGCACAGCGGCGACTCCTCGTAAGTTACATATGCAAGTCAACTGATGTCAAGTTCTGAACAAAGATGGCCGACACGTAGCGGCCATCGTCTGACATTTAAAAGCACATTAATCTATTATACTGTAAAAAAAAGTTCAAGTTCGAGTTATTACGATTTTATTGTTATACTGTGATTTCCGAATCGCGAAAATGTGAAACGAGGACTGACAAAAAAAAGAAGAAACATGATGTTGAGTGTAGAAGCATCATTCTGTATTCCCAATTCAAAACCAGTGTGGTATAAATTCCTGCGTTCCGCGGATACACTCGGGTGTGATTTTTGATGACAGTGAAAAAAGTAAACATGCCTTGGTAATGTGTAGTTAATGAGCTGGATTTCATTTTCAGTTTCATTTGTGAAATCGTCAGAAAAAAAAACTATCACGTTAGTTTTAAAGAGAACGCTAACTGAATAAAGTGATGAGTTAGATGTACTTGGTTGTTTTCTGGCAACTATTTGTAGTATCGAGTGAAGGAGAACGAAACACCGTGACGCCCAAATAACGATGACGTATTGAACTAACAAAACTACTGAAAGGTTAATCGTTTGAACGCCACATTTTACCCGCCAAAATATTAGTGCAACGTTTTGGCACTTATTTATCAACACAACTAGTTTCTTATTATATACAGGTATTGATAAATATTTTTCAGAAAAAAACATGCTGATTTACCTTGGGACCGGTTAAAGTGGGGGTGTCGTCACCTGCGCATGCATCAGATGGCCATAGCGTTTCATTGTTTACAAACAAGCGTCTACCCATGAGCCTTTGCGTTTTTGTGTGTGTTGTTATTGTCGCTTGGGTCTCAATTCCCGCGCGTGCGCAGGTGACGACCGTCTCGCTTTAATATAAGTTGACGTTCGAAGGGTTAATATTATGTTTCTTCATTTAAAAAAAACAAAGATATTATATTATATTATGATTACATAACATTTTGATTTTTTTGCATTTCACAGATAGCAATTTTCTACTTGCAAACGCGCAGATCGTTGACTACCCAATAGTGTACAGCAACGATGGATTTTGTAAGATGTCGGGGTACAACCGAGCCGAAGTTATGCAGAGAAGCAGTACCTGTAGCTTTATGTACGGCGAACTCACGGACAAGGAAACCATTAAGAAAGTCAGGAGTTCGTTCGAGAACTACGAAACTGTGCAAGTCGAGATCCTTATGTATAAGAAGAATAGTAAGTTGGAATATAGCTTTTTTTTGACTGGCGTGCGTGGGGGTAAATCACAGATAACATGTGTAATATCGCAATTCGTGTGTGTTATTTTTTTTAAATTTATCTCAGTCGTGATTAATTATTCATCGAATTCGAAATGCATGTTTCTGCGATAATGAACGAGGTAATTTGTAGTTGTCATCCACGTTTTCTAAAAAGATCGTAAAGTAGATGAGATAAATTATTGATGATGACAAAACAATACGGAGTGCCGTCTTATCTATCCCCTCTGGGTACGTACTCGATATCGTGCACGGTTTTGAATTAATTCACCTAGCAGAATTTCGACATTATCCGAGATTTAATAACATTAGCCTATTAATCAACGAGGATGAAAAAAGAGAACACTTTTAACATGGTCAGAGTACTGCGTTTCCATTGATGACCGTTTCAAGATGGAAACGCTGATAACAGTGTTAAACCAATTATAAAAATGTACACGATGAGTAATTTGTTTTTTTGTTCCTTACAAGTCAATTTATTTATTGTTAATGACGTCTTTAGATCTGCCGTAAGGGGCAAAGATTGTTTTATTTTTACTTCGCATCGTATATCAATGATATTATGAAATTTGCTATTTGTCTTTACTATAATTGTCCGTGCAAGCTAAGACTCCAAGGTTGACAACAACATAATTATTAAATAAATATATAAAGCGTGGGTTACCCTCAGAGAACTCACTTATTTAAAAGGTGATGCTTGCTAGTAAAATATTATTAAATGAATCACATTGCGTGGTATCCTTTTTTTTATCTATCGCGTCGAGTGGGCGTGGACAGGCGTTTTAGCGGTTAGAAAATACGTACCATTACGCGTGCAAATTCTATTTCCACGACTGTTGCACGTTTCTTTCGTTTCGTTTCTGTGTTGCAGAAATATCGTTAAATTTGAATTCTAGAATTTGAGATAGTTTACACATTTTTCTCTCTCCATGATTCAGCTGGTAATTATAGCTGATGAAGTATACTCATCTGATTGTTTTTTGGGTTTTTTTTCAGGGACACCGATGTGGTTGTTACTCCACGTTGCGCCCATAAGGAATGAAAAAGAGAACGTAGTCTTGTTTTTGTGTACATTTAAAGACATTACAGCCTTAAAACAACCAATAGAAGATGAATCGATGCGAGGTGAGTTTTTCTTCTCGCACATAGTATGTACATCTACATCAAGCATAACAGCTGAGCGTCGAAAGATGACACATTCTGCACACAGGTACTTTGTGATTGTATTCTTTAAAAAGAATGCACGAGAAACCATGGCGACGACGACGAAGTTGATTCGATTAGAACCAGAATTTTAATATTCACATCATTTGATATTATATGACCTGAACTAACATTATTATTGCTCCCATGATCACGAGCGTCATGTGCAGATAAAACTCCCCCGAAATATCATGATTAAAAAAAAGTGTTAACTCGACTCTGATTGATGACCAACCAGTCATCAGCAGGGGTTAACAATAACTATGCCATCGGGATGCAAAACGCAACACCTGTGCGAATATGAAGAGCAATTATATACTTCACCAACCTAACACACTGACTTTTAAATTAAATTTTCCTGGAGCTAAACTAATCACGAGACAGCCGTAATAGAATTACTTACGTCTAGTCTCTTTGGTCAAACATCAATAAGTTCATCACGTGATCTTTCAATGAAAGGTGCGTGCAAATTAAAGACCACTTAGCGCTAAGGTTAATGATATGTGTATGTATTTGTGGGCGGGGGAGGGGGCAAACCGTCGCATGTTTTCGAGCCTGTATTTTGCTTTTTGTTCGTGTAATAGCGAGAAGTGTCTCTATGTGTCCGGCGAATGAAATCGTGTTTTTATATCGTGTATGCCCTTTTCATTTAGTCCTTGTGTAGATATCCTCTTGTTAATTGATTCAGTATGTGGGGGCTTGATTTAAAAAAAAACTAATGTTGGTGTCATTTTTTACTCCTCCATGCATTCTTTCTGTCTCATTCCCATCACACGTCACGCGCTACAGAGGATCGTCAAGAAGGTATCACAATTTCTCAGTGAATGTCCTGCACTTTGCACGCCATAGAAAATTAGCATACAATTAGCATAATATATATATGCTAATTAGCATAACATACATCGGCACTCGTTCTATGCTTTTTTTTTCCAAAAAAAAAAGAATAAAAAGGGAGTGTTGAAATCGACAGATTAGATTGTTATCTTCTTCTGTGTGTTTTTTCATTAATAAATTGTAGTTTACGTAACCTATGTAGATATATAAGAAAGTTGAGCATGCGCATGAGCATTATGCTGTTCTTCCGTTTTGTTATGATCTGCATGTAAACAGTTTTAAACTATACAGAGTTATTTTCAGGCATTTTAATTGATCCTATTTTCTAACTTATTTTTCATCATTTATTTTATTTTATCTGAATACAACATTATTTTAGTTATAAATAAGTTCCAGACTGGTTGGGGGACTTCATTCATTTGCACTTGTATCAGTTACTCACATTTTCATTCGTTTCTTTTTTCATTTCCGTCTTCCACTTTCTGGTTTTTGAAAACTCTAAATAACATTGTTTTTTCCCCTACTCTTTATTATGATTATCTCATTTTATCAATTTCTCTATCAATCTTAGTATATATTTATAAACACATATTTCTTCACAGTTTCTGCGATAATAGGTCTTCAACTCAGGCACTCAACACCTTGTGTTTGATTACCTTTACAGGTTTAGGGCGTTTTGCACGGCTGGCGAGAACGGTTACCAGAAGCCGGTCGGTGTTGGTGCAAGTCGCACAGCACTTACCAAATTCTAAACCAGAACAAAAGCAATCACAAATATCACAAATCGCTCATGTAAGTATTCACCTTAATGGATGTGGGAATTCCTTCAAGTTATTTAAATAGACTGCCAAAAAGTTTGTAGAGATATAATTATTTTGAAGAATAATAACATATCCGGGACTTGGTTGGATTGGTGCAAATGACACAGCACAGGCTGAATGTCAAATAAAACCATATCACTCAGAAACAGCCCGTTAAATGTATTCTTCATTACGGGCCTGGGAATTTCTCATGTCTACTGCCTTGGTTATCAAAACAATTACTAAACAACAATTATCATAAAGAATAATCTCATATCTGACGAAGATTCTCATCACGATTTGATCGTACAGCATAAACCAACAGTTAAAAAAAACAAATCAATTACAATCACAAACTCCCGTGTATCTAAGCACTCATGAGTACCTAAATTCCCAAATGTTCTCGGTCTTGGTTGCCAAAAGGTTGAATAATTTTGCTTTAAAAAGAAAACAATGTTCCAGACTATATATTTAGCCATATTTATTTCTATATCACCTATATCGTGGGGTCAAACATAATTCGCCATATTTGAATTCTAGTATATGAGTGACATCGTGGACTGTAACTGTCCACCCTCCGTAAGAAGCTGTGTCAAGATTACACGCTTTTCATTTTCAATATACTCAGGAGCTAATAGAGCTGAAATCACCATGGCAACCCAACGCTAGTACTGTGATATTCAAATGTATTCCGATGAACTGTGTTGAAGGAAGAATAGAAACGTGACCCCTTTTTATATCTTTTATGTTTTAAGAATACAAATAGCTGACAAATTCATATTATTATTTTCTTTCTTTCTAGATGATGAACTTGAATTCTGAGATTTTACCACAGTACAAGCAAGAAGCTCCAAAGACGCCACCCCATATTATACTTCATTACTGTTCATTTAAATCAATTTGGGATTGGATTATATTAGTGTTGACTTTCTATACAGCGGTTGCTGTGCCTTTCAATGTTGCCTTTAATACCAAGTCAATGGAAGACTACGCCATAATAGTAGTGGACGGGATAGTGGATATTGTCTTCTTCATCGATGTCATTCTTAATTTTCACACTACGTTCGTTGGCCCCGGGGGTGAGGTGGTCTCAGATCCGAAGATAATAAGAATGAACTACTTGAAGACTTGGTTCGTCATCGACTTGCTGTCATGTTTGCCCTATGACGTCATAAACGCCTTCAATGAGGTCGATGATGTAAGTTGCATACAAAATATTAAAAGTATAATGTTACACCAAACCAATACAAATGCGCTACTGCTTATATATCAGAACGCGTGACGCTCTTTTTGCCTATTTATTGTGTTCAATACCGGGAGGAAGATTTCACATAATGATGATCTTTATCTCACGTGGAATGTGGTGGCAGTGTTCAACTTATCAACGTCACTCTGAAATTGACACTCTGAACCATTTCACAACGCATGATTTGTTCTTTATTCATGGCATTATTTTTTCCTCTTGCAGCAAATAAGCAGTTTGTTCAGTGCTTTAAAAGTGGTTCGATTACTACGTCTTGGTCGCGTAGTCAGAAAGCTGGACCATTACATAGAATACGGAGCGGCGTTGTTGATACTGCTTATGTCTTCGTTTATAATGTGGGCACATTGGCTAGCGTGTGTCTGGTACACTATCGGAATGGGAGAAATGCCCACGGAAATTGGATGGTTGCATAAATTGGGCGAGGACATCAACGCATCGTACAACTTGTCTGCCACTAACTACGCCGACAGCGGACCGACTAAGGGGTCTGCTTACGTCACGGCTCTCTACTTCACAATGAGTAGTCTGACGAGCGTTGGATTTGGAAATGTATCGCCTAATACAGACGGCGAGAAGATATTCACCATAGTGATGATGGTCATTGGATGTGAGTACTGGGTCAAGGTTTTTAAAGACGCAATAACTGGGTATTTTTGAGTATGTTTAAATATTGTTTTCAATATTTAATCTTCATAAAAATAATTTAGTATGATGTTTGATGATAAAATAAAACCCTTGTGTTGGCAACAAACAAATACATCAGTATTCGTTCTATTACATATTGAAAATGCGCATGCGTCCAGGATTTACGCGTACGTACAGGTAATTACGAACTCGTGTTTTCAGGATTTAATCGAACGAATATTGCGATGTTTGCTACCAAAATATGAGTTTGTACTATACAACAAATCATAAATATACAATATCAAACAGTTATTTAAACATGCCCAGAAATATTGTAATTTATCTACTTTGCGTCACTAATTATAAATCTATTCAAATAAACAAGATGCTGAGAAGCTGAATTGTTCGACTGAGTTACGAACGTCAAGTTACACAAAAGACCACACCCATATGTTCAATTACTCCGAGAAATGGGCAACACACATCTTTGTTTCTGTTTAACGTCCACATTTAGTAATTCGAACTTTAATTAACAGTTAACAGAACTTCGAGTTACGGGCAACATTCATTTTTTTTTTGTTAACGTTATATGTTGTCCATAACTCGAAATTCGAATATTTGTTAATTTAAGTTCGAGTTACTAAATTTGAAGTTGAATTTGATATGTTTTTTTTTTCGTAACCTGGTGTCCGTAACTCGATCAATTCAGCATCTCCATGTTTTCTGCTTTCTCAAAGTAGCGCGTCATTTTATTTGGTGCCTATTAATAATCGGTCAACTGAATTTCGATTAATTGAAGTGCTGACTCTTTTTAACTCGGAATGCGTATCTCGATATGCGAATTGATGTCTCTAAGAAAGACAACATGCGCACAAGTGATGCGCAGATTCCCATTCATCGTGCAAGCAATTATGGCGGATGATTGATCAAGAATAAAACGTGTTTCACGATTTCCAGTGCATGTATTAAATTAAAACATTCCTGTGATCTCTCGTCAGCTTTATTGTACGCATCTATCTTCGGTAACGTGACAACGATTTTTCAGCAAATGACACAAAACACGGCCCGGTACCATGACATGCTGAACAGCGTAAGGGAATTTATGAAGCTACACCAGGTGGACAAGGGACTGGGTGAAAGAGTAATGGACTACGTTGTCTCGACGTGGTCTATGACGAAGGGAATCGACACAGAAAAGGTAGATTGTCATATTCCAACAATATAATAGTTTTTGATTATGTCAAATAAAGAACTTGATATCTGCCCAGAGTTGACTGTGCGTAATACAGAAGCCCGACAGTTACCGCTGATTTGCAAAGGTGGAAATATTATGAATCATCTGGGCGTCACGTGTCCAATATTCTTCAATCTGAACTCGTTCTTGTCCTGAGGAAATTCAATCTCGTCGCCCACATATGTCGAATATATATATATTACGTGACTATTTTTATCCTATGCCTCGTTTTCAGGTGCTGAGCTATTGTCCCAAAGACATGAAAGCCGACATATGTGTTCATCTTAATAGGAAGGTTTTCAACGAACATCCAGCGTTTCGATTAGCTAGCGAAGGATGCTTGAGGGCGCTCGCCATGAATTTCGACATGAGCCACAGCGCACCTGGTGACGTTCTTTATCACTCTGGGGAGAGCATAGAAACTCTGTGCTTTGTGGTGTCTGGTTCGCTGGAAGTTATTCAAGATGACGAAGTTGTTGCAATTCTGGGTAAATATTGGACTTTTTTACAATTGACAAATATTGTCGGGAGAGTTTGTTGCTTTTTAAAAGAACGAGGCGCGCGAAACCGTGAATATGATGTAAAATAAATAATATGTCGACAAACAAGCTGCTTCCTGATTGGCCTGTCTCTTAGATGTTAGAGTCTGATAGCCAATCAGGTACGATCTTTTAAGTAGCTTCGCACTGACTCCAATTGGTGGCGATGAATATATCAATATTTCATCCATGTTTCCTGGCGATTTTTTTAATGACATTAAGGATTTATTAAGAATTTTCAAGATAAAACTATCGATTTTATCTAAATTAGTAGAAAACATAGAATACTACTTTATAGGACCTAGATAATCTTAGCTATAAAACACTCTGTGGGAACATTATATTAAATGTTAAAAACGTGAGACATTCAGAAGTATGTGTGATACGAACTGACATAACATGCAGAGATTGCCATGCAGGGCAGTTCTCAATGCTGGTCACGTAAAGCGGACCATTTATTAGCTAACCCATGGTGACGTTACCGTAGGAAACCGACATAACGTTACCAGGGTCGCGTAAAAAAATAGCGTGTCGCATTTGACGATTACAACCTGCTTGTTTTATTATTATCATGATTTTAGAATGTTAGACGAGTCGATTTTCAAATGGTCCGGAAAGAATCTCTTGACACCAGATTGTCTGGGTTAAACACGAGCAAATTGCGTAATCGCATAGACGTGTCACGTGATAGTTGTTATCAAATCATCTGATCGTTTCTATTTACATAACCCAAATGGGAAAACAAGCACTGTGTCTTTCAAAGAGCAAAGATTTGAAACACAAATCACCCGGCATTTTTCTATTAAAAAATGCGCCGAGCATATTAATGTATTGTTGCCAGTCGTATGTTTTTACTATCGTACACATAATTTATCTATTTGCGAACATGGACCGGTGATCGAAATTCCACTAAAAATATTACTTGTTTGGGGGTACATTCGTAGTTGGTTAATACAACCCAGTTTAGTTAGGCTAACCCGGCAATCGAGTTAGGGGTTCTATGATTGGCTAGGCGGTGGTGCTATTGATGATCTGAGCAGCATTTATCATAATTCACAACCAATCAGTGTGGTTGTAACATGTATGTGCGTTTACACTCACAGGCAAAGGTGACGTTTTTGGAGACAACTTTTGGAAAGAACAGAATCTGGGTCAAGCTGCTGCTAACGTACGAGCCCTGACCTATTGTGACCTACATGCAATTAAGAGGGAGGATTTATTAGAAGTTCTCGATTTTTACGTCAATTTCGCACAGTCATTTGCTAGAAACATGGTCCTGACATACAACCTCAGAAATCGGGTAGGTAACGACTAATATGCAAATGAGTGCAGATATTCAGTGAGATGCTGAATTGTTACGGATATCGACGGAGTTACGAAAATGACCACGCCTACTTTTGAAAAACCACGCCAAAAGTGTAACTCGATGATCAATTAATAGTTAACAGAACTTCGAACTTGTTTAACGTTTTATGTTTCCTGTAACTCGAAGTTCAGTTAGCAGTTAATTAAAATTCCAGTTACTAATTTTGAACGTTAAACAAAACGACAAATCTATGTTGCCATATGGCTTCTTGGAAGTGGGCGTGGTCAATTCAGCATCTCGTATTCAATACTGCTGTAGATCACGAAATGAGTTTCATTTTCAGTAATGCTACGCTGGAGTTGTACTTCTGCAAAGACCAAATCGACTCCTACACTGCACAGACTGCTTCAAGATTAATGAATAGTCGTTTTCATGTTATGAACTAGATAACAAATTGCAAACGCAA